GAAGAGAGTGGCTGCCAGGAAAATGGAGGAAGCTGAGGCCCGGCGCAGACAAGAGGAGGAGGCCAGGAGACAAAGAGCTCTGCAGCAGGTCTGTGTGTCTGTGTGTGTGTCTGTTGTGTGGGCCTGTTCTGTCCCACAGGCAGAACTGGACAGGGCATCTACCTGCCTTGGGCACTGGGAATTTACCCCCAGGATGTTTCCCTGCTGTGTAGGGATGGGAATTTGGGTCAAGTGAGAGGTTCCTGGTGCTTCCCCTGGAGCCTGCTCCTGCCAGGTGAGTGACTCCTGCCTGTGCTTCCAGGAGGAGGAGCGGCGGCGCAGGGAGCTGATGCAGAGGAGGAGGGAAGAGGAGCAGGAGCGTGCCCGGAGGATCGCTGAGCAGAGGCAGGCGGAACTGGAGCGCGAGAGACAGCTGGCTGCAGAGAGAGAGCTGGAGAGGAAGAGGGAGCAGGAGCGGATCCAGGCAGAAAAGTAAGGCAAAATCCCCATTTATGTACCGAATTCTGGGACGGGGTTGAAACGCAGCCAGAGCAGAGGGCAGCGGTGGAAGGCTGGAGCAGCAGGGAGCTGCAGTGACCTGGCAGCACAGCTCTGGGCTGCTGCTGGTGCTGAGCTGCCAAGGAGGAACTCTGGGCTCAGGGATGTCAGGGGTGTGGTGGGGAGTGCCTGAAGAGCTGTAAGCCAGGGAGGGCCCTGGTGTGGCTCTGGGAGTGAGGGCCTGTGCTGTGCTTCCCAGGCTCAGGGAGCAGCAGGAGAGGGCTGCCCGCCTGCAGAAGGAAGAAGCGGCTGCTAAGGAGCGACTGCGGATGGAAATGGAGAAGAAGGAGGTGAGTGATTGATTTCTGGGAAGGGATGGAGCCACACAGTCTGGCCTCAGCAGCTGTTGCTGTTGGAGCAGCTCAGCTGGGATGCTGTGGGCAGCCCTGAAGACCTACTGGGACACTTCTGAGCAGGAAGTCAGACCTGTGTGGCACGGTTACGGTACCATGGGGAGACTTGGCCTCTAAATTTACTGTTTACTAGTCTAGAAGGAGGCCAGGATCAGTAGCACAGACTTCTGCAGGTGGTCAGCTGGTTTCTGGTTTTTATAGCCCCAAGATAAAGTCAGCAGCAAGTTTTCCAGTGTGGGAGGCCCTGGCTTTGTCAGGGAAAGGCAGCTGATGCTCTGGCAGGGGGTCAGTGTGTTTGTGCCCTTCTGAGGAAGCTGCACCATGTCCCAAGTGCTCCTCAGCAGCTCGAGGAACTGCTGTATTGGGGTGCTTGGATATTTTGCCTGCCACAAAGATGGGTGGCTGGGTTGGCAGTGTAGTCCCTAAGGGTAATCCTGTGGGTGTCACCTGGCAGAGGGAACAGAAGATGCTGGCGGAGAAGAAGAGGCAGGAGGAAGAGCAGAAGAAACTGTCAGAGGAGCAAAAGGCCAAAGACAATGCCCGGGCACCACTCCAGGAGAACAAGGAGGTAACTGGGGATGGATCCTTAGGGGTGGCAGCAGAGTTCAGTCCCAGCACTGACCCACTCGAGCTGTTCCACCCTCTGCTTTTATCTGCCTTTGCAATAACACAGGAGTTCTTTAAATCCTGGATATCTAGGGTTGACTGTGCATATTTCAATGACAGAGGGAAGGGAAGCAGGGGTAAGATAGCGAGTGTTGGAGCTGTCTTAAATGCCTCTTAAGTACCGGAAGGACCTCAGGGACAGAAAGTGCTCCAAGTTTTATTTCGGGTCAAATTTGGGAACAGCCACAAGGTGGCAGCAGAGCATGCGGAATGGTGGTGGTTTGGCTCCGGAGGATCCTGCGGGTGTGTGTTCATGTCCTGAGCATCGACAACAAACAGGGGGCTCTTTGCAATGCTCAGAATCTTAATCTTTAAGTGCAGCACCAGTGGGTGGGAGTTCATGTCACTGGACACAAAGCCATGAAGGAGGTCTCTGGTGGGGAAGGACAACTGTGTACAGCTCTCCAGAGACTCACTTACTGAATGAAAATAGAATTCCTGCTGAAAATTTCCAGTTGAAAAAACCTGAAATTTGCAGTTGAAGGTTTTCTCCTGCCCTTACACTTTCTGCCCGTGCAGCTCCCATTAGCATGAGCTCGATTTGGCTGAGCTGGTGGGCAGATTTTCTGTACAGCAATTAGCAGTTTTACATCATTAATGAAGCTCAGAAGTTGAGTTGCAGAGTGTTTAGGGCATGTGACTCTGCTCCAGCGGGTTAAAACCTCCAATTAACCTTGGCTTGGCTGGAGTGGAGCTCTGTTCTATTAGACCCGTTAGATTCATCTACTGCTGTGTGCTCATGGCAAATTAATCAGCCTAATTAAACAGGAGAAGGCCATGCACAGCCATCATTGGGTCACAACTTTGGAACTTGGGTCAAGCTCTCAGGTCCAAACTTGAGACCTGCCAGACTCAGGGTTTGCTCTGAGGTGACAGAGCAGGAGGTGGGGACGAGCTGGTCCTGCTTTAGCTCGGAGCCTGATGATGCTGCTGCACCCAACACCTGTGGAATGTATTTTCCTTCTAGAATTCCCCTGCCTGCAACTCGTATGAGATGACTCCTCAGAGCAGGAAGGAATTCAAGGTGCCTTTGACAAGCTCCAATGACTATGGGATGGACCTGAACAGCGACGACTCGACAGATGATGAGAGCCAGCCACGCAAGCCTGTCCCTGCCTGGGCCACTGGGGGGGGGGGGGGGGATGTGGGGGGTTCTGTGTGTCCAGGACCCCCAGCAGGCTGTGGGAGCTGCTGTGGGGTTTTGCCCAGCTCCTCCTGCCTGGAGGAGTTTGAAGTACTCCAGCATGAAATGAGTACTGCTGTGTCCAGGACTGGACAGGGTCTTGGAGCAGCCTGGTCTAGAGGAAGGTATTCCTGCCCATGGCTGGGTCTTGGAACTTGGATGAGTTTTAAAATCCCTTCCAACCCAAACCATTCCATGATTCTATGTGGAATGTGGAATCAGGGGCTCCTCCACCACTTGGGGATCTTGTCACAACGTGATGGGGGACAAATGCACAGCTAAGCTGCCTTGGGGTGGTGAGAGATGAGCAGAGCATGGACACACCACATACAACAGCCTACACAGCAATCCCAGTGAACAAAATTAACACAAGCCTCATCTGTTCCTGCAGGGAACCTGCTCAGCCAGGCTGTGGTCCGGCAGTACTACAACCCCCCCGACCTGGATGCGCTGTTTGGGGCCATCCCCAGCCCCAAGCTGGAGGACATCTTCCAGAAGAGGAAACCCCGCTACTTCAAGCGCACCAGCTCGGCCGTGTGGCACTCCCCGCCCTCCGTGGCGGCCAAGCCAGCCCTGGGGCTGCCCTACGGCCTCAAGAAGCCCTGAGATGAGCGCAGGTGTGCAGCAGGTGTGCCCTCCTGTCTCCAGGTGAGGAAGGAGTCACTCTTCACTTTAATATTTAGGTTCTAGCATTGAATAAATGGCAGCTTTTCCTGGGTTCCTGCGCCTCGGTTTGCAGGGCTGGTTTCTGTCAGGCCAAGCCATGAGGTGCTGCCCCAGGAAGTGCCTCTCTCGTACCCTTAGCTTGGAGCTGGCATGGACTCAGACTTTCAGCGGGTGAGGGGTGTCACCTGAAGCTGTGGGATCTCTCCCCTCCTCTGTCACACAGGCCTGGCAGGCCCTGCCATTCCTCAGTTCTGTCTGTGCTGCCCTCGAGGTCAGTGACAGCCAGGGACCACTGCACCAGGGCACAGTCCGGCCTGCTCCACTGCTCTTCTCAGGAAAGTGTTCCCACGTGTGCTCTTCATCTCCTGCAATCCCAAAGGGATTTGTCGCTCTGTCCCCACCTGTGTGGCAGTGTCCATCAACTGGGCACGGCTGACGTTGGCACAGCTGGGGCAGGGACACCATGAGGGTCTCGGTGACGTTCTGCCAGAGATGACCAAGGCGTGACCATCTCCCCGAGGACCCGCAAGTGTGTGAGCCAGCTCTAGGCCTTGATAGGAGAAACTCTGTAAGGGTTTTGGCAGATATTTTTTTGTTTCTCAGTGAAATTCCATCTGTGAGGCCTGATGGGATTTCAGAGGATGTTTTTAACCTTAATCCCTTTTGTTCACCCTTGGCTGTGGCTCAGCATCAGCTCGTTGTCTCGGCCATTTAGCACTTCCTGTTCAGTGAGCCACTGCTAACCGGACTCTGGCCAACCCAATTTCATTGAACCAAAAATTCCAGATCAGCCTTCCCATTCCAGGAGTGCATGGTGGTTTAGTTATTCCTTCTGCACCCAGCCCAGCCCTGTAAAATCCTTGTAGATACTGTGCTTTGTGTGAGGGGACATGATCCTGTCTGTGTGTCTGTAGCCAACGCACTGTTTGCCAGTAGATATTCTTCAAAACAAAACAAATTAAATGTTGTTTCTAAATTAAATTTAAAAAGTTTTTTATTTTAATACACTGGTGTCTGTATGCTGGGGCTGCTCTGTATGTGCAGATCTGTATGTGTGGAGTGACTGTGCTCCTAGGGTTGCTCTGTAGATCCAGGTCTGGCTATTGCTGTCTGTACCCATGGAGTGCCTGTGTTTCCATTGGCTGTCCTGTGCATCCAAGTCTGTATCCCTGCGACCGCGATTTCTTGTACAAAAGCTTCTGAATTGGCCAAAAACTGTCGGATAAAGTGAGTTTTGTCATCTCTGGGCTCCTCTCAGCTTTTTGTTACAGAAATTGAGGGTTTGGAGTCTGTCTCTTGTGCTGATTCCTTGAGGCAAGAATGTCCTATCTGGGGAGAACTGATCTCCTATGGAAGATCTTAGTCCCTGTGGGTTCCCCAGCACTTTGTAGCATCTGTGGAAGCTTTTGATTTTTAAGGCTGATTTTTAGAGGCTGATTTTTAAAGTTTGGGGCCCTTGTGGCTGTGGGTCCATTGGGGACATTGCTCAGTGCCCAGCCCCTGTCCCTGTGCTGTCAGCCCAGCTGCAGGTGGGACCCCACTGTGTGCAGGGCCAGCTCCCACCCCCCAGGCACAGACAAAGACACAACACCCAATTCAACTCACACATAATTTATTAGTGACAAAGGGGCTGTCTCCAGGCACAAGGGAATGTCACCAGGGTGAGGGGATGACACTGTGTCACTGGGCTGGGGAAGCAGTGGGGAAGGGGGGGGTTTGAACAACATGGTGCGACAAGGACATCCTTGTGAGGACACTCTTGTTGGGAAGGTCACACAGATTGCCCTCATGTACGTGCAGGGACTCAGAGGGCCCAGGTGTGTCCCCAGAGGTGTAAGAGGCCCCGGTGTGGCACGTCCCTGTCCCTGATCCTACCCGCGCTCGCAGATGAGCTCCACCACGCTGTGCTCCATGGGGACGGGGTCGAGGCAGCGGTGGGCGGCGCTGGCGGCCACCTCGTCCAGCAGCCCCTGCACCACGCGCTCGTCGGAGGCGAAGCGCCACAGGTAGAGTTGCAGGTAGTGCCCGTCCACCTGCACCTGCTGCAGCCCGAAGCGCCCCAGCGTGCGCAGCCGCACGCACTCCAGCAGCGTCTTCAGGCTGATCTTGATGATCCCCGTCAGCACCGACACCTGGGGCAGGGGACAGCAGGGACACGTGGCACGTGGGCACAGGGATGGTGTCCGTATGGCATGTTGGGCCCTTGTCCTGGCTGCCACTCCCCAGGGCACTCCTGAGCATGGGGACGTGTGGCACATGGACACCCTTGGCCTGGTCGCTGCACTGATCCCACAGTGATCCCTTTCCTCCCCACAGAGTCCTAGGGCAGGGAACACTGGGGACATCCTTGTCCTGGACATGAGCTCCCAGCAACTCGCTGAGCCCTGACACCAGGGGCATGTGCCAGTGGGAAGGTGGGCACTCTGGGACCTCTGGGGATGTTTAGGGACATGGTGGTGTCCCCATGACCTCACCTTGTTGAACTCAACAGGGCTGAAGATGTCAATGCGCTCAGAGAAAAGCTTCTGGATGTTGCTGAGCAGGTGGGTGTCCATGGGGGCACTGAGGACATGGACACAGGGACAGTCAGGGACTTGACAGAGCCAGGGATGTGGGGACAGGGACACAGGGACTGTTAGGGGCCATGGAGAGGGTCAGAGGATGCAGGGATGCTTTTGGGAACAAAGGCAGGGGAACGTGAGGATGGTCCCAGGACATGGGGACACAGGGATGATGGGGATCACCAGGGGATTCTGGGACAGTTGTAAGAACACAGGGATTGTTGGGACAAACAGGGATTGTGATTAGGACAGTCTGGGGATATGGGGACAGCTAAGGCTGTCAAGACAGCCTGGGACAGTCTGGGATCATGAAGAGGGTGACAGGGGACATGCAGTGGATACTAAAGGAGTGACAGGGAGCCCAGGGGTGCCTGGGTGGCCCAGGGGTGGCGGGGCTGACCTGGGGGTGTAGCTGGGGGCATAGCGGCCGGGTGCCCGCGAGCTGCTGTAGACGGAGAAGGCGCGCCGACTGGAATCGCTGCTCTGTGCCCGCCTCACCCCCTCCTCGAAGAGCTGCCCCACCTGTGGGTGGCACCACACCCTCAGCACCCACGACCCCCTCCTGGGACTCCCCAAACCACCCAGCATCCTTCCAAGTCTTTGCGAGCCTCCCACACCCTTCCAGAATCCCCAAAGGGCTGCACAGGGACCTTGGGCAGCCCCCTCAGCCGGGTGTCGGCCGACCTGCACGTCGATGGCGGTGATGTCCTCCACCA